GAGCGAGTAAAATATCCTTGTACTTATGGCTGTCGCAGTGAAGGAATTTCCCTTGTGGTGCTTTTGAGTTGCTCAAATATAGCAATATGAGATATCACCATTGATTTTTTTTTTTTTTTTTTTTGCTATATAAAGTGTTATGATGTGGTCAGCAGGAACGAAGAAGGAGTTTCAAAACAGGCATTATTAATAATCCAAAAACTCCGAATGAACATGCAGGGGAATAACGCAAACCACACAATGCATAAATGAGAAATGACCAAGAACAACTGAAACATCTATATCTATATATATATATATATATATATAGGCTACACACACACAGGGGAAGAACAAAGGAAAGTAAACTAGACAAGGGCATAATCGGTAACCAATGAGACTGAAATAGGTGGCGAGTCATTAAACCGTTCAATCTAACTTATATGTTCAAAAATGCTGATTTATTCATGATTTAAACAGGGTGTTGATATAATTTTAACTTTAAAATGACGGGCTCAACCGTCTAGCAATGCATCGCCAGTGTAACGCTGAAGCTAACGCTTCACTTTATAGAGACCAATGGCATGAAACATACATGAAATTAAAAAAAATTAATAAATATTAATTTAACAACATTAGATGTAACATCAAATTCTAATGTACATACTGATTTAGAAAAACTAAGAAAAACTATGAAGAAACCGTTATTTCAACAAAAATACATCAAATGTGAAGCGACACGCAGAGAATTCTGGCAATTTTAGTTTTTTCACTGTAAATTAGAGAATGACTTATTATTTTTCACTTCCAAAAACTGTACATTTAACGGTATTTTACGGTCTTAGATCTTAGATCTATCACAGTCATTCACCGTATATAAACTGAACAAAATTATAAACACAGCACTTTTGTTTTTGCCCCCATTTTTCATGAGCTGAACTCAAAGATCTAAGACTTTTTCTATGTATACAAAAGGCCTATTTGTCTCAAATATTGTTCACACATCTGTCTAAATCTGTGTTAGTGAGCACTTCTCCTTTGCCGAGATAATCCATCCACCTCACCGGTGTGGCATATCATGATGCTGATTAGACAGCATGATTATTGCACAGGTGTGCCTTAGGCTGGCCACAATTAAAAGGCCACTCGAAGGCCCTGTCCACACGGACACGGGTATTTTTATATTTTTATTTTTTATTTTTTACGCGGTTCGGCCGTTCGTCCACACGGAAACGCACTGAAACCGAATATTTTTGAAAACCCCTGCCAGGGGTGAGGATTTTCAGAAACGCCGGTTACAGTGTTGTCGTGTAGACAGTGAAACCGGGGTTTTTGCCTTGCGACGTCAAAGTGTGCGCCGTTATCCGCTGTGTTTGACGTCAGAATTGCGCTTCTGATTGGCCAATGTGGCTTTACGGTTAAGGTTTATATCGCCGCCTGCTGGCGTGGCATGCTCTTGATCGCGCAGCGCTTGATAGCGTGTTTTTGTGTTTTCATGTAGACGGAGACCGAGCATGTGTGGACGGGATTTTTTTTTCCGTGTGGACAAGGCCTAAAATGTGCGGTTTTACTGTATTGGGGAGTCCGGGGTGGATGGATTATCTCGGCAAAGGAGAAGTGCTCACTAACACTGATTTAGACGGATTTGTGAACAATATTTGAGAGAAATAGGCCTTTTGTGTACATAGAAAAAGTCTTAAATCTTTGAGTTCAGCTCATGAAAAATGGGGACAAAAACAAAAGTGTTGCGTTTATAATTTTGTTCAGTGTAGTTCGGAAACTTTCTTTTAACCAAGTAACAATCTTTTACCGTTAAAATCACAATAATTTTTTTACAGTGTACTTCTACTCGTTTAAACTGCAGTTGCATGCACTGTACATTGGCGTAAAAACTTCGGCTTACTTTGTGATTAAGAGTCAGATGGAAAAGAGGGATAAAAACATGTGTGCAATGACTGCTTCAAACACAGTGGTTACAATTCAGCCTAAAACTGATAACAGATGAGACTTGCAAATGCAATGGATAAAAAAATTGCTTAGTATGTAAGTGCATCCAACAGAATAACCCAGACTTACATAAGTGTCCATGAAACACACTCTTAATGTCCTAAAGCAACCCAGACACAGCGTCTCTCTTGCCTGAACCGCCACAGGCCCCCATGAGGAACCAGGACATCAGCTGATATGGAGATACTCTGATAACGGTTTCAGCTTATGATTATTCGGTTATGAACGACAACACTTGTGGGTAAAAATAGGACTCAGTAAAGATCCAAACAGATGAACTGAGCTGACGTATTATTACCAAAGACAGTGTGTTGCTGCTGATCTACTGCTTTGAGCACAACAGGATCTCAGTGTGTGTCACTGCAACACACCCCTGATATTAGATCTGCTGCAGATGTGTGTGTCTCCTTCCGGCTCTGGATATGCTTACACTGAGCAGACAGAGCCACACTGCGCAGGGAAATTCAGAAAACAATCATATTTCATCATAATATTTATACCCTTGAAAATGCCTTTTCCAGCCATTGTTTGTGAACAGATTGAGCCTCGGCGAGGAGTAATTACTGCACGTTTAAATCAGCACTGATTATCTGATTACATGCATGAATTAATGTGGAGATACATTGACTGTGTGCATCTGTCAGCTGCTCATTAACTCAACATCAATCACATCTGTACAGCAGGACAATCCACACACACACACACACACACACACACACACACACACACACACACACCTGCTGAAAGTCTGACATTTCGGAAAGATTCATGATTGTTCTCAAACTGGTAGCGCAAATTCTCCTTTAAGTACAGATTTATTTTTAATACTTAACTTTGCTTTTGGCCATTCTGTCTTTTATATGGACACTGTCGCCATGACAACAGTTCTTGCATCACTCGCATCCGAGTAAAACAAACACACAAGATGTTAATGATATCAACTACACCAAATATTAAAAGTAACACAAGGTAAATATCCTCTACATATGAACAGCATCGCATACAGAATCACAGGCTTGTTTCCTTTTATTTCCCTAAAAATGAAATATTTCAGGATCACAGATCACAAGCAACAAAAAAGTGATGCAATTAACCTCATCTTTATTTATTTATTTTATGGCAAAACTAATGCAGATGGCTAATTTTTCATCAGAACTTGTCCAAAAAAAAAAAAAAAATTCACCAATGAACCCAGAAGTGTAATACAGTGCAACAGATGTTTAATTTAGTTTATTTAGTCAGCAACGTTTCACTTTTAACTCTTTCCCCGCCATTGACAGATCGTTCTCACTGTGACAGAATCTCCTGATCAAAACAGGAGAAGCAGAAACAAGCGATGAAAGCATTGCTTATGCACTTTGTAGTCTTTGTCAAAAACACAATTTTTTCTCAGCTTTTTGTTCAAAGTGATGCTTTTTTTAGGAAACTTACCCACATTCCAGTGTTGATAAAAAAATGAATGCATGACAGTAGAATAAGACGTTTTTGTTATTTTTATTTTAAAGGAGATGTTTATTTTGATATATTGGGGGCCATGACATTGAAAATTATCAAAAATGCTGGCAACTTTTTTCAAACCGCTGGCGGGGAAAGAGTTAATAAATAATCACAGTTGATAAATATCGGTATATCATAATATAAAAGTCTCTTCTGCTCACAAAGGCTGCATTTATTTGATGAAAAATTCAGTAAAAACAGTGATATTATGAAATATTAAAATGTAATTTATTACTGTGATGGCAAAAACGATGATTGTGCTGCTTAATATTGTTGTGGAAACCGTGATCCTTTTTTCGGGATTCTTTAAAGAATAAGCATTTTTTTTAAATAAAAATCTTTTTTAACATTATAAATGTGCTTACTGTCAATTTCGAATGATCCATTTAATGCATCCTTGCTAAATAAAAATGTATTTCTTTTTTTTTAAAATCGTCCTGCCCTCAAACTTTTCAACAGTAAAAGTTTAAATAGGCCTTAAGCATAACATCTAAAATATAATATTGCCCACATAGATGGCCTAAATGTGGTTAACTACTATTGATTAATCATATGTAATGTAGATGACTGTTATATAAAACAGGGAGATTATTTTGACTATAGTTGGACTAATAGTAAAATATTAATGCTGTCCTTCAGCATAATAAAATATAGCTCAAGTTTAGTTAAAAAAAACCCAAATCAAGTCAAAAAGAGCAGAGCACAACCACAAACCACAACATTTTCCTACAGGATATGCTTTTTTCACTGATCTGGACTTTTATATGGAATATATAATGTGAAATATGGCTAGGGCTGTGCAACGATTAATCGCATCCAAAATAAAAGTTTGTGTTTACATAATGTATATGTGTGTGTACTGTGTATGATTATTTTGTATATATAAATACACACACATGCATGTATATTTTTGAAATACATTTGCATTTTTATGCTGTATCATTTATATTAAATATAAATATAAATATTTTATATATAAATAACACATTTTTATTAAATATATACATGCATGTTTGTGTATTTAAATATACAAACTAATTATACACAATACACACACATATACATTATGTAAATACAAACTTTTATTTTGGATTCGATTAATCGTTGCACAGACCTAGTATGTACTTTTTTTGTGTAAATTGTAATGTCTTATTTTAATTTGTTTGTATGTACGTTTACATAACCTCATCCTGGCCAGGGACTGCAGATGCAAACGACCTTTACAGCCAAAAAAACTAAACAAACCTAAACATTCGGAAAACAACAAATACAAGCAAACTAAGAGTTACGTTCGGAGGCAGTGAGGTGCACAAGACCAAGGTGGCACTGAGGGATCATAATTCCCCCCAGAATTCATATTCATAAATGCTATAACTGAACTCTTCACCCTAGCAGTACATATGGTTGAGACTTGAGGTCACCTGAAGGCAAAACTCATGAAAACTCATCACAGTTGACTGTAGCCTATAGAAGAGCACACAAACACACAGAGGCATGCTGGGTAATTGCAATCTCACCCTCTCCTCCAGCTCGTCTCCGGGTGTGTCTTTCCCGTCGGGAATGTCTCTGCAGACGGGCAGCGCTTTCTTCAGCGCCGGCTCGCGGTTCAGGGTGGTGTAGCCCACGTGCTCGTAGATGGGGTTGATGGTCATCTTAGATATGTATTCGGCTGCTTTGGTCTCGATGTACAGCGTGATCAGACCGTCCGTCACCAGGTCGTGGATCGACTCGAAGCGTTTCTCCCCCACAAAATGCTTCCCATCGTAAAAGAGACGGAAGTTTCGGGTCTGATTCCCAAAGCTGAAAGAGAGAATGAGGAAATGAGTGTGTGCTGTAACACACAGCTGTGAGAAGATCCAGAGAGGAATGATGAATGAACATGGACACACACACACACACACACACTGAACATCTATGGTTGTATCAGCTTCCTGTACTTGTAGTTATGAGTGCGAAGAGCTCATGTGTTGATCAATACAAAGACCGGATACTCTTCTTCCACACACACACACACACACACACACACACACACACACACACACACACACACACACACACACACACACACACACACACACACACACACACACACACACACACACACACACACACACACACACACACACACTTAAATGTCTATTCCACATGTTTATCATTATATTTTAACCCAAAACGTATCTATAGACTTTGCAACAAACAACAAACCTGGTTTTTCAGGCAATTCGAAAAAACGAATATTTCGTAAAACAGGTGATCGCATTTACAGGTGATTTACACGCATTTTAGTCGCATAACATCGGGTAATGGAAACAACGTCATTTCGCAATAGTTTTTTATCGACATTTAGAAAATATCGCAAACGTTTTGCGCAAATATGTAATGGAAACGCGGCTAGCCGGCTACTGTGCTCATTCACACACATTCAGCTCATGATAAGTGTTTTTTAGCATCTTAGCTACGTTCACATAAAATAACAATCAAGGAATTAACTGACGACTTTAACCGAAACACATGCATCACTTTCAATGTCAACAGCATAAGAATAAGCCACTTCAAAACCAAAACAGCCCAGTACAAGAGACTGGAATAAACACACATCTCAGACACATTCATGCATTGATACATACTGTATGATTATCACACAACAAAATCAACATTAACATTGTCTTAGAAAATTTCCTATTAGTTTAAATATTTGAATCAAACAGTATTTGAAAACTGAGGGTTGCCAATGTATTGATTGTAACATGATCAGAGATGGTAATGCTGTTATGAGCCACTGGAAATGACAGGACAGCTGAGGTTTTATAATGCATGAGCTTCCTGTTTGAGTTCCCACAGAGAGACACACACACACACACACACACACGCCCAAAATCAGATGCACACAGGCGGAGCTGGAAACACTTACAGATACTCACAACAAGGTTCATATCAGAAACACACAGTTAGAGGTTTGTATGGCTTCTTGACTCACGCATGGAAACAGACGCACCACACACACACACACAGATACACACACAAACATATGCACAAAGGCTCATGTCATTAAAGCCTGATGGCAACAGAGCTCTTTGATGTTAAAGCTTTTGCGCACAGGACACAACAGATGCTTTCTCTGAGGAATCACATGCCTGAGGAAGAGCGCATGAGAGAGCGAGAGTGTGTGTGTGTGTTTGGACTGGAAAGCAGCCGCATGCAGCGTGTAGCAGTGTGTGTCCGTCTGCTCAAGTGAGCAGATTAAAGGGATTATCTCTAGACTTTTTGTGTCTAGCGCGGCACGCATGCATGCGCACACACACACACACTTTTTTCACTATATTTGAGGAGGACATTGCAAAGACTTCCATTGATTCAATATCAGGTTAGTGGCTTAACCCCTAGACCTATCCATTACAGAAACATGTGCAAAACACTAGATTACATTTTTTTTTTTTTTTTACGATTTATATGTTTTTTATAACTAATAAGGACTAGTAATAGCATGTCCTCACTAGTCAGGGTTGTCATGATATTTCAGTATATAAGTGAGGACATTTGGCCCTCACAAGTATCGCCAAACCTGTACACAAACACACACACATTTACACACTCACAACAACAACAAAAGTCCTCTAACATTTTAGAGTAAAATTCTCACATTTACATAACCTATACTAGGGCTGCAACTAACGATTATTTTGATAATTAATCTGTTGATTTTTTTTGATTAATCGGATCAAAAATCTAAACATTACTTAAAAAAATTGACGTTAGAAATGGGTTATTCACTACTGTAAAGCGACGTGACTGGCTGATGGTTTCCAAGCACAGCGCCCAAACGTGACTCATCGATCATCGAATTCGTTGTCAATTATTTTCATTATCGATAATAATCGATTTTATCGATTAGTTGTTGAAACCCTAACCTATACCAATCAAAAATGTTTTTGAAAAAAGTCTCTTCTGCTCACCAAGGCTGCATTTATTTGATCACATATTGTGAAATATGATTATAATATAAAATAAGTCTTTTCTATGTGAATATATAGTAAAATACAATTCATTCCTGTGATCAAAGCTGAATTTTCAGCATCATTACTCCAGTCTTCAGTGTCACATGATCCTTCAGAAATCACTCTAATATGATTATGAATCTTATCAATGTTGAAAACTGCTTCATATTTCTGTGGAAACTGTGATACTTTTTTCAGGTTTCTTTAATGAATAGAAAGTTCAGCAGGTAAATTATGTATTTTTTGTGTAAACAAAGCACTCGTGTCGCTTTATAAAACTGAGGTTAAACCACTGGAGTCTCATGGATTACTTTAATGATGTCTTTACTATCTTTCTGGGGCTTGAAAGTGGAAGTTGCATTGGATCTCTATGGAAGGACAGAAAGCTCTCGGATATCATCAAAAAGATCTTCATTGGTGTTCCGAAGATGAACGAAGATCTTACGGGTTTGGAACGACACGAGGGCGAGTAAATGATGACAGAATAAAACTTTTAGGGTGAACTAGGTGAATTTGTTCTGTGAATAGCTAATACACATTAAGACTGATGATTTAACTACACTGATCTCACATCAGCCAGAGCTAAAATAAGACAAACACACATGGGCCAAGACACGGGAGCTAGACTGGAGAAAGAGAGAAGATCTAGGTTCGAGACGGATGGGTCAAGGGTCAAAGTTGAAGGTTGGCGTACCGCAGAGCTAAAGTGTATGTGCCCGGCTGTCTCTGGCTCTCTCGGATCAGATAACTTCCTTCGGCCACACTGAGCAGTTGGTCAGCTTCCTCTCTGGAGATCATCCCATGATACCTTCACAGCAAACCAGACAGAGAATATTAATACAATAGCACATTCGAGCTCAAACCAAATTTGCTTTTAAATAGGAAAAATACACTACTGTTCAAAAGTTTTATGAATTCATATTTTATTTAGCAAGGATGTATTACATTGATAATAAGTGACAGTAAATGTTACAAAAATTTATTTTCAAATCAATGCATTTCTATTGAACTCAGCCATCTCTCTTTAAACAATCTTTCTTCAAATCTCCCTCTTGCTCTCTATCTCCTCCCCCTTTATGAGTGGACACGCACATTATTGCTGATTGGCTCACTCTCTCCTCCCCGATCATGAGTGGACACACCCATTACTGCTGATTGGCTCACTCTCTCCTCCCCGATCATGAGTGGACACACCCATTACTGCTGATTGGCTGACTCCTCCCCCATCATGAGTGGACACACCCATTACTCCTGATTGGCTCACTCTCTCTTCCCCCATCATGAGTGGACACGCCCCTACTGCTAATAGGCTCAATCTCTCCTCCCCCATCATGAGTGGACACGCCCATTACTGCTAATAGGCTCAATCTCTCCTCCCCCATCATGAGTGGACACGCCCATTACTGCTGATTGGCTCACTCTCTCCTCCCCCATCATGAGTGGACACGCCCATTACTGCTGATTGGCTCACTCTCTCCTCCCCCTTCATGAGTGGACACGCCCATTACTGCTGATTGGCTCACTCTCTCCTCCCCCATCATGAGTGGACACGCCCATTACTGCTGATTGGCTGACTCCTCCCCCATCATGAGTGGACACACCCATTACTCCTGATTGGCTCACTCTCTCCTCCCCCATCATGAGTGGACACGCCCCTACTGCTAATAAGCTCAATCTCTCCTCCCCCATCATGAGTGGACACGCCCCCTACTGCTGATTGGCTCACTTTCTCTCCTCCCCCATCACGAGTAGACACGCCCCCTACTGCTAATTGGCTCAATCTCTCCTCCCCCTTCATGAGTGGACACGCCCCTACTGCTAATTGGCTCAATCTCTCCTCCCCCATCATGAGTGGACACGCCCCTACTGCTAATTGGCTCAATCTCTCCTCTACCATCATGAGTGGACACACCCCCTACTGCTGATTGGCTCACTCTCTCTCCTCCCCCATCATGAGTGGACACGCCCCTACTGCTGATTGGCTCACTCTCTCCTCCCCCATCATGAGTGGACACACCCCTACTGCTGATTGGCTCACTCTCTCCTCCCCCATCATGAGTGGACACACCCCCTACTGCTGATTGGCTCACTCTCTCTCCTCCCCCATCATGAGTGGACACGCCCCCCAGTGCTGATTGGCTGACTCCCCCATCATGAGTGGACACACCCATTACTCCTGATTGGCTCACTCTCTCCTCCCCCATCACGAGCAGACACGCCCCCCAGTGCTGATTGGCACTCTCTCCTCCCCCATAACGAGCAGACACGCCCCCCAGTGCTGATTGGCACTCTCTCCTCCCCCATCACGAGCAGACACGCCCCCCAGTGCTGATTGGCACTCTCTCCTCCCCCATTACGAGCAGACACGCCCCCCAGTGCTGATTGGCACTCTCTCCTCCCCCATAACGAGCAGACACGCCCCCCAGTGCTGATTGGCACTCTCTCCTCCCCCATCACGAGCAGACACACCCCCCAGTGCTGATTGGCACTCTCTCCTCCCCCATTACGAGCAGACACGCCCCCCAGTGCTGATAGGCTACAAGAGTGTTGTGCTGCTCGTTCTGATCCACTGTAAACAGCGTTTCTCAGAAATTGCTTACTGTGCCTTTAAATAGGATATCGATCAACTGTGGATTCATGTACAGTAGAATCTGAACTGGTTCAGTAATGCGTGTAATGAAACTCACTCTCTTCCGTAGTATTTGGGCCGATTCTCCACCTGCAAAGTCATAAGAGAGATATCATTACTAAAAGTTATCAATTTTATCAAAATACTTCACTATTACTCAGGAACACACACAGACTTGGAGAACAGTGTAGTCTTAAGTATTATAAGAGAGTTTATTAAGAGATTTCCATCATTTGAAATATCGTGGTATATAGGGAAGAAGTGGGCATAAACAGGGGCATCTCGCTCCACTACTGGGGTAAGTTGACCCCCGTCCAGGGGCAAAAGCCCTCTAGGGTAAACTTATCCCAGCCGCTTTCGCAGAATATGTAAAATACAGCAGATATCATTTTTAATAATTTATGTCTATGCAAAAGGTGCCATGAATCTAAAATACGAAATCCAATATTCTATGTAAATTTATGCATTGTGAGTCGTGACTATTTAATTGAATAATTCACAGGAAAATCAAATAAAGAAACTGCAGTCAAAACTTCATCTTATTCTATGAATTATATATAGGCCTTTATTTGTATTTAATGGGATGTCATAATAATAGCAAAAGAGTGTGAATTCTGCTCAGATGGCCCGTGGGTTAATTATGAGATCTTTGAAATGTGTGTATAATTCAAGGAACAATTTATAAAACTTATGAAAACACCAGCAACATCATACCAGTGCAGACCTTCTGTCCCAATACTGAGGCTGACAGGGTCATTTTACTGACTTTCTCTGAATTACTGTCAACCAGCAATCCCTCATTACCAAACATACATCATTTTAATATCGCACACAAAGATATTTGACAGAATACCACACCTGGACAGTATTTCAGACAGCCATATACTGTAAAAAATGCTGCTAATCTGGATTTTATTCAGATTGATTTAGTAATGAAGAAAATGCATATTTAAGATTTATTCATTTTTAATCACTATATGTTCTTTCAAACATGCATTTTTTATGCTCATTACTTTGAAATCTATCAGGACACACGGCTTTACTCATGACCGTCGTAATATTAATGGAAAAAGACTGTAAAAAACGCTACAGTAAAAAACAGTTAATTGGTTAAAAGTAAATGGGACATTTCATGCAATTTTGCAGTAAAACTTTTTTTTTTTTTAAAGAAAGAACAAGTCATCTTATTTATAGTGCAAAATTGTAAATTGACATTCCCAGAATGCTTTTTCATTGATTTCTTCCTTTTTTCTAATCATACATCAGGGTTTTATGTTACATCTTATGTTGTTAAACGAATGTTTACTGTAGTATTTTAGTGCCGTGTGTGTTTTCTACAAATGTTCGTTGGTGACATTTAACCCTTGATCCAACAACGGCATCTATAATCAGCCAAAACACAAATAAATGAGCACAACACCCTCCATACAGATGAGCCTCGCGCTTCCAGAGACAGAGAGAATCCAATCCTCCCCCTTCCCCCAGTCTCTCTCTCTCTCTCTCTCTCTCTCCGTTTCTCTCACACACGTCTTAAACGCAGGGCAGAAGAACAGTGTTCTGTGTGAGAAGCTTCACAAGGTCCGAGGAAAATATATATATATGAACTTTTAGAAAAATAAAAGGTGCTACACAATGCGAAAGGCAGATTACAAGAAAGCATGAACAACACACCTGAAATATAAACATCCGAGAGGAATAAACCAAAACCAAACCAGTTCAGCTTTAACATGTAATGAAACTGTCAGTCGGTGAATGACTGAACGTTTCTGGGTAAATGGGATGTGGGATGGAATAACATCGTTTCCTGATGAGAATAAAGGCAGAAGTGTTTTGTAAAGCAGGGTTGTGTGTTTATGTGTGTGTGAAGCGGGTTGTAGGTGAGATGACCGACAGGGTAATAAAGCCAGCTAATGATGGGAATCAGCAACACTATAGAGCTGATCAATCACTGGAAGCCAGTGTGTGTGCGTGCGTGTGTGTCTGTGTGTGTGCGTGACTGTGTGTGCGCGTGACTGTGTATGTGCGCCCGTGCGTGTGTCTGTATGTGTGTGTGGTGGTGTGTGTGTGTGTGCAGACTGCTGAGTGCGCAGTATTTTCTGCATGAAGAATGGGAGCGTCTGATTTCTGTCTGGGTTTCTCTATCAGCATCCTTAAACACTAATATCAGCAATGAGCAGATGACAATGGAAAAATGAGCCAATTGTTTCATTTCTCACCTCATTTATAATGCTAATTCCATTACATTTGTGTCTTTCCCTCTTTAGAAATCAGGAAAAACAGCACATTTACTTGAATACATTTTCCTGCTCTTAATGTGCACAATTCATCAGTTCACGTTCTACTAAATAGATTTTTTTTTTGGTCCTTTGGATTATGAAAATTGGTAGATTTCAGCCAGAATCAAACATGTAAAAACAGTGTTTGCGCCTATAGCCCTGCAGCTAATGCTACACCAAACATTTAGCATTTAGCATGCATGAATCACCATTGACAGCCCAATCTGAGCCAGATGTTGACATGCTGAACTGCTCAAACATCAATGACAGGCAGTGTGTTAAAGCCCTAAACGGCATAAGAAAAACCATGTTTGCATGTACATGATAATGATATGTGCTTCTTTTTTGCTAAATCGCTGGAATAAAGCTTTTTTTTCAGATGTCAGTCAACAAACGCCTCACTGATGCGATGACTGCACATATAAAGCTGAGGTAGAACTAGAAGAAAGGGCTTTATCAACACACGTTAGCTTTAAAACGCATTACAAATGATCTAGGTTTTAAGTGCGCAAGTATTTTTGTTCAAAAGTTACACATAAATGCCATAATAAACGCCTTGTATAGGTAAGGGATGAATCTCCTCTGAGAGAATTACACAAGACTCACACACACAGGGAACGAATGTCTGGTTCTTCCGTCCGTCACACATGAACACACGCTCACGATAACACCAAAGGAAAGCCCTCATGTCAGATGTAGCTCTTTGATTTGGCGAGTGGTGTGAGAGACGAGCGGACACAGACGGCTCGTAATGAACAGAAATCTCTGCAGGAACACACACCAGCACTGAGAGAGACACACTGAGCTCCTCAAGCACAACACTAATCATTCACACAGATCTACAACACACAGCTGAGGTCATCGGAGTTAAAATCACACACTCGGCTTCCTCACAACATGCGCTCAAAATCAGTGGACTGGACTATGTTGAGGTTGCAAATTTGAACATGCAGTATAAATTGTTCAGGACAATTGAGGATTAAAAGATCTCTCATATCTAGACTAGCACACTAATTACCGGATGAATTAGACAACTCGTTTATTCAAGCAATTATCTGGCCAATGAGATAATTACAAGAAGAAAACAAAAACACTAATATTAGAAGCAATATGGTCACCGTGATAAATCTATGAAGCCTCAATCAGGATTGAGCTGAATCTTGTCGCAATACATAATTCAATTACAGCAAGAAAGGACAAACTGGATCTGCAGTGCGAATGAAATCTGGTAATGGAGGAAAACCAAACCCTTCACGGTTCGGACACACACAGAATGAATGAAAGCAACACGACCACAGCACCTGTGAGGAGGACGGCTCTTTTCTTTAACTCTTACATAACCTGTGGTTCTGATTCACATAGAAACCAAAATCATGTAATCTTCACTAAAAAAAACCCAGAGATAAACTAAAGCATAAATGGTTCCTACTTTTTACATACACTCACCGGCCACTTTATTAGGTACCATGTTTGTACAGAGTTGGACCCCCGTTTGTCTTCAGAACTGCCTTAGATCTTCATGGCACAGATTCAACAAGGTCTACAGTCTACTGGACTGAGATGCTCTTCTGCTTCAAGGTTTGGTGTGTTTTGTGTGTTCAGAGATGCTCTTCTGCTTCCAGGTTTGGTGTGTTGTGTGTTCAGAGATGCTCTTCTGCTTCAAGGTTTGGTGTGTTGTGTGTTCAGAGATGCTCTTCTGCTTCCAGGTTTGGTGTGTTGTGTGTTCAGAGATGCTCTTCTGCTTCAAGGTTTGGTGTGTTGTGCGTTCAGAGATGCTCTTCTGCTTCAAGGTTTGGTGTGTTTTGTGTGTTCAGAGATGTTCTTCTGCTTCAAGGTTTGGTGTGTTTTGTGTGTTCAGAGATGCTCTTCTGCTTCCAGGTTTGGTGTGTTGTGTGTTCAGAGATGCTCTTCTGCTTCAAGGTTTGGTGTGTTGTGTGTTCAGAGATGCTCTTCTGCTTCCAGGTTTGGTGTGTTGTGTGTTCAGAGATGCTCTTCTGCTTCAAGGTTTGGTGTGTTGTGTGTTCAGAGATGCTCTTCTGCTTCAAGGTTTGGTGTGTTGTGTGTTCAGAGATGCTCTTCTGCTTCAAGGTTTGGTGTGTTTTGTGTGTTCAGAGATGCTCTTCTGCTTCCAGGTTTGGTGTGTTGTGTGTTCAGAGATGCTCTTCTGCTTCAAGGTTTGGTGTGTTGTGTGTTCAGAGATGCTCTTCTGCTTCCAGGTTTGGTGTGTTGTGTGTTCAGAGATGCTCTTCTGCTTCAAGGTTTGGTGTGTTGTGCGTTCAGAGATGCTCTTCTGCTTCAAGGTTTGGTGTGTTGTGTGTTCAGAGATGCTCTTCTGCTTCAAGGTTTGGTGTGTTGTGTGTTCAGAGATGCTCTTCTGCTTCAAGGTTTGGTGTGTTGTGTGTTCAGAGATGCTCTTCTGCTTCCAGGTTTGGTGTGTTGTGTGTTCAGAGATGCTCTTCTGCTTCCAGGTTTGGTGTGTTGTGTGTTCAGAGATGCTCTTCTGCTTCAAGGTTTGATGTGTTGTGTGTTCAGAGATGCTCTTCTACTTCAAGGTTTGGTGTGTTGTGTGTTCAGAGATGCTCTTCTGCTTCAAGGTTTGGTGTGTTGTGTGTTCAGATATGCTCTTCTGCTTCCAGGTTTGGTGTGTTGTGTGTTCACAGATGCTCTTCTGCTTCCAGGTTTGGTGTGTTGTGTGTTCAGAGATGCTCTTCTGCTTCCAGGTTTGGTGTGTTGTGTGTTCAGAGATGCTCTTCTGCTTCAAGGTTTGGTGTGTTGTGTGTTCAGAGATGCTCTTCTGCTTCAAGGTTTGGTGTG